AAATTAAGTGGAAGATAGGGTACGGGGCACAGAAATGTGTGCCATTGTTGTTTTCTCTTTCATTATGACGAGAAAAACAAGAACAACGACAATATCGCAGCAAGAGATGCGGTGGATTATTAGTCACAAGTGGGAGGCGCAGTCCTCAACGTGACGTGCTGTTTGTACCCATGGTTTTGGTTTATGTGTTTAGTTTCAACCATAGAAAAATAAAAAGGTTTCAACTTAGCGTGCTGGGTGGTTTTGCTTTTTGATCTTTTGGAGCCGTAAATTTTGGTAATCCGTTTTGATAAGTCTGATAAGTATCGGGTCTATTCTGTAAAACATCCGTTAAAATTTAGAGGCCTTTAAAAATTTAACTTTTAGCGGCCCGTTAATTTTTTTAACCAAAAATGGTATTCTGTATACATAAATTTTGGAGGCCTGTTAAAAATTATTTATTTTAACGGAGTCCCTTGAAAATGACAGGAAAACACTTGACAACATCGCATATAAGATTCATTTGAACTAATTTTGAAGGATTAGAAAAATAAATTTGAAAACATAACCATACAAATCCTCAATTTTCAATTCAAAACCAAAACAAATGGATGATAAACTTCTTAGAACAGCAAAATTTGCTTCACGGTGGGAAAATAAACCCAGTAGATACAACGAAATTAAAAAAAGTTTGGGAAAACGTTGCAGCCAAATTATATAAAATTGAGTCCATCATCTAGGAAAATTATATTCGTCTTAAAATCTATTTTAACGGCCGTTAAAATATAAAGGAATTGTTACAGAATAGACCCCATATAATTGTTATTTCACTATTATGAATTCTGCGGGGAATTCCGTACAAAATATTTTAAACGGTGCGTTATCGTTTGACGACAAAATCGAGGCAAAGACTCTCGGGCGGCCGATGCCGAATTTGCAGATTGAGCAACTAAATATTACACAAAAACGTACGTTTAAACGTAGTTTTAATAGAACAATTTACGAGAAGTATTCGTGGCTGTGTGGTTGCGAAGTGACAAACAAATTTTATTGTTTTCCCTGTATTTTGGCATCCAGTGGCAAACAATCTAGTGTGGGTGACTTTAGTTGGATTAAGCATGGAGTAAGTGATTTGAAACATTTGGACAGCAAAGCGAAATCCCACATGGTTTCCAAAAAACATTTAGAACATGAACTGGATATAAGTATGTTGGGTCGAGTGGACATTCGTAGTCAGTTGAGTAGTGCTTACCGCGATTCTATAAAAAACCACAATAAGGCCGTTGACAGCAACCGTTACATATTGTCCAAATTAATTGACTGCATAAAATTTTGTGGCGCTTTTGAGCTTGTCTCGCGAGGTCATGACGAAACGTCAACTTCAGAAAATCCTGGCATTTTCAGAGGTTTAGTTAATTTAATGGCTGAAATAGACAGTGTATTAGAGGCACACTTAAATGACACAAAAAATAAATTGTTTCAAGGTACATCAAAAATCATTCAAAATGAATTGCTCGATTCAATTTTACACATTTGTCAAGACATAATAAAAAAAGATATTCAGGCTGCTAAGTATATCGCCATACAGGCTGATGAAACAACTGATGAAACAACTGATGCATCAACTCAAATGCAGATGGTTTTGATAATCAGATATGTAATAGACGGTCGGATTTACGAAAGGTTTTGGAGTTTTTTGAGACCAATGAATCACACTGCAGACGGGCTTTCGGCGGCAATTCTGGAAGTATTAAGTGAACTAGGAATTGACAAAGTACCTGAAAAATTAATAGCACAAAGTTACGATTGTGATTCCGTAATGAGTGTTATTGCTAAAATTAAAAACATCTATGCAAATGCCCAATATATTCACTGCTATGCACACCAATTAAATCTAATAATTGAACAGTGTTGCTCAATAGATAAGGCTGTAAGAATTTTTTTTGCCAATCTCTCTGCATTTTCTGCTTACTTCTCCTGCTCTACAAAAAGAAACGCTTTGGATAGGGTTGTAAAAGAATGGCTACCTCGTTCGGCTCCTACACAGTGGAATTTTACATCAAAGTGTGTCAATACTATTTATGTTTATAAAGAGGATTTAATTAAATGTCTCGAAGAAATTATGAACACAGAAATTGATAAAAAAACTATTAATCAGACTATAGGTTTGATAAATTTTTTGAAAGAGATCGATTTTAATTTCTGGTTATTTTTCTTCAGCAAAATAATGCCAAATTGTGATATACTTTTTGATCAACTGCAGAGTAAACAGCAGGATGCTCTCAAGGTTAAGAGAAACATATCAAATTTTGCAACAGCTATTCAAAATATTAGAAATAATATAGACACACTAATTCATGAAGAATGGCAATCACAACAAGACCCACTAGAACTAAACTTAAACGACAACACCCAATCAGGTCCAAGTACAAGCAAGAAGAGACGGTTTGTTGAAAAGAAGGACCCCATTCCTAATTTAAGGATATGTATGGAAATTTGTAATACAATAGTAGTGCAGGTAAATGAACGTTTTAGTTTTACTGCCCACCTAACAATTGCAAGTTTATTTGATAGTGAAAAATTTAAAGAATACCGAGGTTGTTTTCCAAATGAGGATGTAAAAACTGTGTGTAGTTTATTTCCAAACGTAAACAGCTTAAAATTAAAAAACGAACTGTCCATACTTTACACTCGAGATGAATTTGTGCAACACAATGGGGCCGTACCGTTATTACAAATGTTTTTTGAGAACAATTTGACAATTACATTTTCGGAATCTGTGGAGCTGCTAACTATCCTGTGTACAATTCCCATGAATACAGTGGAGAGTGAAAGATGTTTTTCAACACTAAAACGTATTAAAACATTTTTAAGGAACACTATGTGCCAAGATAGATTGTGCGCGTTAGCCATGTTATCCATCGAAAAAAAACTTATTCGGTCCATTCCAAATTTTAATAATCTGGTCATTGATCACTTCGCTAGCCAAAAATCCAGAAGAATGGACTTCAACTATAAGAAATAGTATACAACTGCAGCGGTACCTAGCAGTAAGTCTTCAATTTTATAATATTTAATTTGTTTTGAAATATATTTAATTTTCATTAAGCAGAGAACTTGTTTTCCTAAGGGAAAAACGAATCCCGGGATTCCATTCCAGTGTGTGCCCCACTGTAGGGCCCACGAGCCTCCACTGATTTTGTCACCAAAGAAATACATCGTTGAAACTTTGAGATGGTTGGTTCTACTTCAAACAAAATTGAAATATTGTTTGATTTTCACAAAATTGAAAAATAAAATTTAGGAAGTAATATACAAATTAAGGTATTATGAAACTACTGTTTTAATGAAATAAATTTACTAAAACAAAACATGATTTAAATTAGAGCTTTGGTTTCTGCAATCGGATGGTCCAGGATTGGTAAAAACATTTTAGTAATTTCAATATTAATTTCTTCTAAATTCATTAATTCTAAAATTGGATATGTGGGAAATCTGGATCTTGATATTCGTTATCGGATAATGTGTCATCATTCGGGCAATCAAAGTAAGTTTCTAACGGTGCTCCAAATCCATTACTTTGGGAACAAAACTTATCCATTCGAGTTGTACACTGGATGCTTTCATAATGACTAATTTGATATATTTCACTCAAATCTACTCAGGTTTTTTTAGTTTTTTCACGAATCAGTGAATTACACTCGTCCAGTTCAATTGCTGGTATAATAAAGACGTTTATTAATATTATTATTATTAACATAGCGACATTTTCTTGAAAAATAAACATCTACTGACGCCGTCGCAACGGTTCGTTATAACCCAAAACAAACCCTTGTGTATTATCTAAATGGCTTATTTACCAAGGTATTGGGTTAATTTCTTATTCTTGGCTCGATTTACGCTATTGATTGTTTTCTCTTCTGTGTACTAGTTTATACTGTGTTGGCCAATTATTTAATATGGGGTAAATATAAATATTTTCTGTACACTCGATAAAAAACGAAAACAAGACATTATTTAAGTATTTTGCTTGATAAGTATAAGGTTGCAAATTCCATATTGCTTATAAATATTTTTTTTGTTTTCCTAAGCACTTTTCTATTAATTTCGCAATGCAAAATTGGTTATAGGCAATTAACAATCTTTGCATTAATCTTGGAGCGTTGCAAATTTGCATTTATTTATAGGAAGGTATTTAAATCGTTCTGTAAAATTTGCAATACTTTTCAAATTTTTTGGCAACTGCAAAATGTGCGAATTGTTGATTTTTGTTAATTTTTCAAGGTTCCGGACCTTGTCCGAGGTTGCAAAGTTAACAGAATGTTAAGAAAAATAATATTAACATTTGCAACCAATTTTCAAAACTTTTGCATTTTTTTTGCAAAATTAGACAAAAATAAAAAATTATAAGTATTGACATTTTTACAAAAAAAAAAATATTTTCGTGCAAAATGAAAGGTTGCAAATTTGAATAGCTGTTCCAAAAACTTGTATGACTTATGTCAATGGTTTGCAGCACTTTTGCAATTTTTTTGTCTATGATATAAACAAAAACGCTATTATACAAAAAAAATCATGTTCCGGTCTTTCAAAAAAGTTGCGAATCTGATAAAATGTTGAAAATAATACAATATATATTGCTTTAAGTTTGCAGCACTTTTGCAATTTTTTTCTCAACATTATAAACAAACGCGCCATATGTGTGTGTCCAGTTGAAAAGCCAAAAGAGGGATTTTGTTACTTATTTGCCAATTATTTTTATTGTTAACTATATGTTTCATTGATGTGGCGAATTTTTTAATTTGTATACATTTACAATAATTTTAATAGTATTACATACAAGGTATATATTTTAGCTCATACAAATGGAAATAATGTTGTAATTTTGTGTCATAATATTATTAGAAATTTGTAATATTATTAGAAATTTGTATGCATTTTTGTTTTTTAGTAATGCTAATTTAGCTGTTTACATAAGTAGGATAGAAATAAGATGTCTAATGTTTTAATAATTTTTTTAGGGAGAAAAATTGGTATCAAAAAATTAAGATCTGAAGAAGCATATTCCATTCAACAAATTAATTTTAAAGTGACTCAAATATTTTATGATATTCGAATCTGCAGAGCTTAATTATTGTATGCATTTATTTTGATTCATCTATATTATATTCGACATTTTTTACAATTTATTTTTTATAAACTTGACATATATATTGAAATTAAATCTTGTTCTAGACATATTTATTTTATTGTTATATCAAGTTGAACACGTGCACAATACTTCCAATGTGTGCTTCTAAATAACTGTTTAACTTTTTTTAATTATTATAAAAAAACTACCCAATAAACACAGTTAATCGGCACCGTAACTGGGCCGAAGGAGGCTTGCCGAATACCGGACTCGGCTCGATATACGGGTGCAGCTTCGGCATATAAGTAGGGCATGTCCGCCCAGCCGAATGTCGGCAGCCCACTACATTATAGCCGCATTAATATATCTATATATAGTTCGGCCCGTAAGGATGCCTCCCATGCCCGGCTAGCCAAATATTCACCGTGTTCGGCCCGTAAGGATGCCTTCCATATCTGGAAAGCCAAATATGGACCATATGCGGTTTCTACTTCTAAATTACGTCAAATGGTAAGGTCCTCCCGCTCAGAAGCAACGACAATCTGAGTACATGCCGGTATCAGGCCAAGTGAATGCCGACTATTTGTGGTTTACTGAGACTGGTTCTGTCCAATCCATTTGTGCAAAGCCGGTCCATATAATAATAATGAATTTTTTTACACCAATTTACAAAATGTAATAATACAATCTTGAGGTATAAATAAATGAATGAAAAGAAATCGATAAGTGAATTTTTCACTTGTTTCGATACAAATACAATCACAAAAACAATATAAAGTAGAAAAACTTATAAATGGACATAAATACAAACAAATTATAGATAATAAAATTATAAAGATCAAAAAATGTTAGTATAGCTTAATATGTATATACAAATATATTTAGATACAATAAGTTTAGATAAATACAAAAAAAATACCAGTTATTAAAGCTTATAAAGATTAAATATATATGTTACGGGCAGTGTTGTAAATTGGGCACTGACGATATTGACCGGACACTAACGTCAGCAGAATGCTCAATCAAACTGACCGGCCAATATCGTTAAAGACCGAAATATCATCTTTTACCGTAACATGTACAAATAGAGAACACTGGATCTATGAATTTTCAACTATACAAATTATTGACTGTCGAGTTTGTTGAAGTAAGTATGATTTAAAATATTTTATTAGCAATGAGGACAAGAAAAATTAATTTTTTTCCAACAAATTTAACTTTATTTAATACAATATTTCTTCCGATTAAGTATAGAAAATTATTTCATTTAAGTGGCCACCTCGACTGGCTTGGCAGTAGCCCATCCTGGAACACCAATTTTCAACTTTGCTGCTCTATTTGAGAAATTTGAGCTTGAATGTTCTCTTTTAAGTGCTCAATTGTCTGAGGATTATCCGTACTTTATCCTTCAATGCGCCCCAAAGAAAGAAGTCGAGTGGTGTTAAATCGCAGCTCCGCTGTGGCCAATTAACATCTCCGAAACGGCTAATTACACGATTATTAAATTTTGTGCGCAAAAGATTGATGGTGGCCGCGGCGGTATGGCAAGTTGCGCCGTCTTGTTGAAACCAGACCTGATCGAGATTGATATCATCCAATTCCTGTCACAAAAAGTTCGTTATCATATCTCGATAGAGGTTGCCGTTGATCGTAACGGCGCGGCCAGCCTCATTTTCAAAGAAAAAGGGTCGAATCACGCCGCCACTCCAAAATCCACATCACACAGTGACTCGATTTGGATGCATGGGCTTTGTTACGGACGACGTGTGGATTTTCCGTGCCCCAAATCCTTGAGGTTTGTTTGTTAACATAACCTCCTATGTGAAAATGCGCCTCATCCGAAAAGATGATTTTTCTTGCAAAATCAGGGTCATCGTTCAACTGGTTTAGAGCCCACTCAGCGAAGCGAAAACGGTGTGGATGGTCAACTTGCTTCAACTCCTGAACGAGCTATACTTTGTACGCAAACATACCGAGGTCTTTGTGCAGAATTGACTTCTGCGCCGAGTTGATGTTGACCCGTTAAGGCGCACACTTTCGGCTACAGCAGCGATTACTTCAGGTGTACGCCTAGGATGAGCATGCGGAACATGTTTTACGTCAACCAGCATTCCAGTTTTTTGCACTTTATCAATAAAATTCTTAATTCCTTGGTTTGAAGGCGCCTCATTTCTTCCAAACTTTGTACGCAATTTTCGCGCCATCTCGGCAACCACAGAGTCACACTCAAAATAGGTTTTGAGTATTTCAAAACGTTGATCTAGACCAGCCATACTCAACCTGCGGCCAGCGGGCCGCATGCGGCCCTCCAAGCTTTTATTGCGGCCCGTAACACTATTATTGGTCGCAGCGCTAAATAGCATGCTAATTTTTAAATAAACGTTTGGAATTTTGTAGGGTTACTGCAAAAACAAATAGCTCTACTTTTGAAATTTTCGAGTTAAGTAGGTACACTTTCTACAAGTGTGAACGAAGTCTATATTCATGATAAACAGATAGCCAATAAAAACTAACTCCATATTAATACATTAACAATATGCACAAACAAGATGGAGTGGCATTTATACCAAAACATAATCATAACATTGTGTTCAATTGCTAAGTGTGTCTACCAAAACCAGATAATAGGCATATAACTTATTTTTGCCAAATATATTTAATCCGATTCCTAATAGTGTTTCTGCCAAAACATAATAAAGGCCAGAACCGAGGGGAAACAAAACGTACCTGTATTTCGGAAATCACAAAAAAACTTTTTATGTGATTTTGGTGATTTCACTGAAAATCCACCTTAATTTTGTACGATGTTCTTTTTATCTTGGCATTTACGGTTTTGAGCGACGAATTGATTTCGGCGATGATTTCTATCATGATTTTCGTTGATGATTTCGGAATTTTCGAGAAAATTTGTAGTAATTTCGGTGATTTCAAGTGAAAACGTATCAGTATTTCGGGAGTGGTTTACCGCTACTTATTTTTGTTGAATGTGTTTGTTGAAATACTGCAACAGTGTGGCCACGCCATTTGTTTTGTTATGACTAGAGCCGTCTCTGGCCTTTCTCGATTGTTTCGAAATCCACGAGATGATTACGTCACCCTTTTTTCCGCGATACAGCAAACCTTTAACAACCACTAGATAATAACATGTGATGTCCTAATATCCGTGGTGAACGAGTGAATGGTCAAGATGTAACGGGTGATTGGTCAAGTTGTAACGAGTGATTCGTCAAGTCGTAACTAGTGAATCTTTATGTGAGAATTCGTGGTAACAGGTGAATTTGAATTTTAACCATACTTTCTAATAGACAACTTGTATCGAAAGCTTCAGCTATCCTAAATACATTCCATCAGAAAAATAGATTTAATTTCGGCTTTATATGTCAAGCCAAACTCGCACAGTATTTATTAAGAGGGATGCATGAAAGGATGAAACAAAGTTTTGAAAATACCTACTTACAAAAAAGTGCAAGAAAGATTTACTAATTTTTTTAAAAATCAGGTATTACACCTGATGAATTTCACCATTATTATCACAATCTACCTGTATCCAATAATGTTAAAGACCCCGTACCTTTGATTGAAGATAGTGATGATACATACATTGAATTATAATTTGTATATAGAGCTAAAATAAGCTAAGTGATAGAGATTCTTAGTTTATACTTTGTTAACAATGTTTTCAATACCTTCTTCATTGAAGTTAATAAACAGTTTGAAGCTTTTTCTGATTTTTTTATTCAGTTTTAAACTTTTGAACAGTGTTTTATAGAAAATAAAAATGTGAGTTATCTTGTTTTTGCAGTAACCCAACCGAATATATTTACTTATGTTTTAATTTTAGATAGATGGCCTAAAAAAGGGTCATCATCCAAAAATATTGCGGCCCGTGTAACATAGCACACATACGAATGTGGCCCGAAGAAAAAAAGGTTGAGTATGGCTGATCTAGACTAAAGCGATGCATATTCGGTTAGCGGAAGGATAAAACTAAATTACTTTCAACAATTAATGACAGTCAAATTGTCAACTTCATTAATTACACGCAGTTTAAAATTAAACATATGGCCCACCCGTTACATCCCATCTCATATACGAGTCCAAATATATACCCAGATATTTCATGTTACTTACTGAATTTATTATACAGTGAGCATCATAAGTCCTACGAGTTAGATAGGGGGTATCCATGATTTTTGTACACTTATTTATGTGGGATGTTAAAATGTCCATGAATTTTTTTTGTTACAGAGTCAGGTTCACTGATTTCAAAGATATTCCAAGAAATCTGCTGAAATTGTTTTTTAATTTTTCATAATTAATATGTGGTTTAATTTGTTGTATATTAGACATATTTTTGTTATTATTAAAATTGTGATTTAACTGTAACGCCGTATGATGCAACCAATAAAATGAATCGTCTGATCACAAAGCTGTGATTATAATAAACTGAGTACATTACATATGAAAGCTATAAGATATATTATATAGCTTATAGCTGGCATGTAATGTACTGAGTTTATTTTAATGGCAAAGCTATATTTTCGTATAATATCTTATCTATATAAGCTATATATCTCATAGCTTGTAATGTACTTTGTTTATTATAATGGCGAGCGATATTTTCGTAATATATTAGCTACAAGATAGCATCGCTCGTGGTAAAATCCCAGCTTTAGAAAAACTTGATTATTACTTATTGGACTCTAATTTTGTGAGAAATACTGTTCAAACTATTGATGGCTTTGCTGTTTTTAAAGCATAACATATATGTACCCATTTCAGCTAGCATCCCGCATCTGTAAGACCACACTTTGTTCCTGATTAAGATTTAAAGTAGGTAAAAGCAGCCAAAGCACAAAATGTCATTTTGACAAAGCAAAAGCATTTGAAATGTACTCACAAAACTCCATTCTGCATTTGAATTTTAACTCCAAAGCCGCTCGTCCAAATCGATTTTTTCTACTATTCTAGTCCAAAAACTAAAAATAAAATATACAACTGTTTATATGCTTCAACTATATGACTAGTACTACCTTAAAATCACTTATTTTGCCAAATTTGAAGGTTTTTTGAACATCCCTACAAAAAACTAGAAGTAACTATCTTCAAACAAACTGATTGCTAATTGTTTTGTTGCCTAGGTACACTTTTTAAATATTTTCCTCTTACTTTTAGACGAATTAACCCAGCGTATTAAAATAATTATAAACATAAAGCAGACCTCCAACCGTTACGATATATACCATGATAAATATTATCAAATAAACAAAAAGTATATAATAAAGTTTATTCATTTGACGTTAAAAATCGACAGAATTGACAAAAAAAATGTGACGTTAGGTATTTCTGGATTTATTTCATCTGTAAAAGTCTTACCAAATAAACATTTAACTTCTGTAACAATTAATTCATTATTCTTATAGGACAAGTTCTTAAGTTTCTTACAACAGATTCCCTATTGTTTAATTGAAAATTAAAAGTATTCTCAATTCGTAATAAAATAAAAATTCGCAAACGAAAAACATAGAACATAGAATGCTAGAAATATCAGATTTGATTTAAACTTCAAATCAAAGAACTGAAATGTTCTGTGCTTCAAATCTCAAACTCGAATATTAGTTTTCTTCTTTTTTATTATTCAAATCGTTTCATCAGTAATTTTGGTTACGTAAATTAACTTTTACCATTGACTCTATTTTTGCACAAAATCCAGGACGAATAACTTTTCTCTAGTATATACGTTGTCTCTGATATAGGTAAGTAAACAAATTTAAAACCTAGAGAAAGCAGAAGCATTTTTTTTAAAGTTTTTTCAGTTTTTCACCTGTCTTTCAACCAGTGCAGCAGTGAGAAACAGGCTCTCTAAAAAGAAATAATGAAGCATTTTTATAAGGTCCATATTTATAAACCCCGGTGCTTTCATCGTGTTATAAACCACTTTTGGCAACGAAGCTGGGTAGATATAAAAAGCGATATAGTAAGGAGTATAATACCAGATCCCTATTTCAAATAAAAGAAGAAATATATTTTAAAAAAAGAAGAATGAGGTTAATTCTTAGGTCAACAAATCTTTGATTCTTTGATACGAAAATAAAATTCACCGATATTTTTTTAAATTAATGCTACTGTGCTACTTTTAAAATTATTTAAATAATATTTTATTTATGCAAATTGTATTTCAATATTTTAAAGATAAAATATGTTTTAAGACATAGGTAATCAAGATTAACTGTACGCGATGTATATTAAACTATTTTTGGTTGTGATATTATTTGAATATTCTTCCTGTTGGAATTATAATCCTTATTGTTTAATTAATGAATGCAAAGAGGAAAGTTCTAAAACCGATACACCAAAGAGCAAGCCGACTATCCTTTCTAGGCTTAATCCTTACTGTTTAATTTACGAATGTAGTGATAGTGACAATACACTCAGTACAGAAGAAAATAAAGAGTCAGATTCTTGGGATCCTTCTTGTTGGTATAAAGATTGCCCAAAAAATCCGGGGGTATATGAGCTACCGAAATTTTGGACCCGCAATTATTGGAATAATGAAGAAGATACCAGAACGTGGGATGAAAAAGTTGCATGCATATTTAAAAAATGTCCAGGTGTTGTTAAAGAGCCAGAGGTTGAAACAGAGAAAAAATCATATATCCGTGGAATGTTTAATTCGGTAAAAAGTTATCTAAATGCAGCGAAACCTCAGGAGATAATTATCAATGACATATTTACTTCCGAGTTAAATCCCTATTGTTGGGTTACTGAATGTTGTAATGAAGATACCCTCCCAGGGAACATAGAAAGTAAGTATAAATTATTTATTTATCATATGGTTTAAACCATTTACAAAATACATAAGTTTATAGTATAAAAAATATACATAAATATAAAAATACTATGTAGACCTAACACATTTTTTTACTTCGCCACTCTTTTCACTCGATACAGGGAAGAGTTAAAAATATCAATATTCTGTTTTGCTGCAAATGTATTAGCATTTCTCAGAAGTCTGGCCATACCAATTCCTGAGCCATAGTTAGTTCTATGAGCTTTCAAAGCAAATGTGGCGCTACCACGCAACGGCCTAGGTGGGATATAAAAATCTACACTTTGCAAGAGTTCAGGAAAATTAACAAGGTTATTTACAAGTTTAAAGATAAATAGAAAATCAATAAATTCTCTTCGGGAAGCTAACGTTTCATTATTTGTTGTGGCAAGCATATTTGTATAAGAGTATGGTAGTGACAATTTAAAAGAACAATACATTAAAAATCTACGATGTACTTTTTTAAGCTTTTCAATATGAATTTGCGCATATGGTGACCAAATAACAGTACAATATTCCAAATGTGACCTTATGAGCGAATAAAATAAGATTTTAATTGTATGCAAATTCACAAAGTCTGCCGAGTGCCGTCTCACGAATCCTAACTGTTTTAAGGCTTTCCCAGCAACATAATCAACATGCTGAGAAAAAGACAGATTAGATTGAAATATAATCCCAAGATCTTTTATACTGTCAACTTTTTTAATACGATTTCCATGCAACTCATAATTAGGTTTATATTAAGCCTCTTATAAAAAGACACTACCTTACATTTTAAGGGATTAATTAATAATCCATGCAAAAAGCAGTATTCGTTCAAACTGTCTAAATTTTTCTGCAGTATGAGACAATCAGAGGGATCTTTAATATTATACAATTTGATATCATCAGCATACATTAAAATTTCAGTATCATTTAATTGTTTCACCACAGCATTAATGTAAATGCTAAATAACAATGGGCCCAAATGTGATCCCTGAGGGACCCCTGATATCGCTGCATATTCACTAGAAATGGCAATTAATTTATACAGGGTGCAACTAAATAAGTGTAATACATTTAAGGGGGTGATTCCTCATCGAAAAAAAGATAGAATCTTTCATATAAAGAAACTTCATTGGAGCATCCCTTGTTAAGATACAGCCCCTTAAAGGGGGTACATAAAATTTGTTTAACAATTTTTTTCACAAGCACTAAACAATATTGAAATTAACCTGTCATTTTCTACTACCAAAAAGACACTTAGCCAGTTATTTATTTGGTTTACTCCATGGTTGTAAGGGGTGGAAAACGCAACCCCTAAAATTTCGTTCCAACGTAACTTTTTGTTTATTATTTGTTTACCATTTAAAATTTTATTTCCGATAGCCTGTTTCATTCTAAACAAAAAATGTCTCTTGAATTTTTTGCCCAAAATAAACCAGTTCCCAGCAAAAAAATATTTCGTTTTATGGCGATATCTATCTTGTTCGTAAAATAATGTTTTGCTGCGAACTGGTTTATTTTGGGCAAAAAATTCAGGAGACATTTTTTGTTTAGAATGAAACAGGCTATCGGAAATAAATTTTTACATGGTAAACAAATAATAAGACAAAAAGTTACGTTGGAACGAAATTTTAGAGGTTGCGTTTTCCACCCCTTACAACCATGGGGTAAACCAAATAAATTACTGGCTAAGTGTCTTTTTGGTAGTAGAAAATGACAGGTTAATTTCAATATTGTTTAGTGCTTGTGAAAAAAAATTGTTAAACAAATTTTATGTACCCCCTTTAAGGGGCTGTATCTTAACAAGGGATGCTCCAATGAAGTTTCTTTATATGAAAGATCCTATCTTTTTTTCGATGAGGAATCACCCCCTTAAATGTTTTACACTTATTTAATTACACCATGTATAACAGTTTAACATGTGCATTTTCTTTTTATTTCCAGAATTATCAGATTTGATACATAAACGTCTTTATGGTCAACATTTAGTCAGCACTTTGGTGGATGCCATAGGCTCCCATTGGAATAGTAAACACCCTCCCAGAAAGGCATTGGTATTGAGCTTTCATGGACCTGTTGGGACAGGCAAGAATTACGTTAGTGGAATGATTGCTGATAGTCTCTTCAAACTTGGTGTCAAAAGTAAATATGTTCATCATTTTTCAGGAAGGCTTCATTTCACAATAGAGGGCAATTCTGATTCATATAAAGTATGTTATTGTTTTTCAAAGGTATTGTGTGAAAGTTTATCTAAGCTTATTTATTAACCAGTTAGTTGGCTTGTTTTATTAACAGTATTATTATTATTATTATTATTATTATGTAGTAAAAATGGTGGCGGGTGGTATATTCACAACAATTTAAAGTTAAAGTACCTGGATGGACTGATTTTTGATAGGTTAAATAATAAATAATTTTCATAATTTCATAAAAAATTAGAGTTACTAATGAAAAATGGCCAATAGCCTCCACCTGAGATAACAGGAGATGAAGCTATTCATTGATAAAATTTAATATTCATGCTGCCAACATCAATTCGACAGTCGATACGCTCAAGTTGTAGGTCCGGAGTGAAGAGACATGTGGTGAGAGGTAAGAGAGGGGATGAATGGAAGGATTTTACGGCGATACAATTTTTTTAATAATAAATATATGTGTAAATGCTTGTGTGTTTATAATAAAAAACAAAAAATGCAAGCTTGGTTGCCACTTCCAACTTAACATTAACTAGGTTTTGGAATTTATTGAAAATTATTACATCTAATTTGATGAAATAACATTTAATTTAGTTAAATTTTGTTTTTCTACGAACATTATCCAAAGTAGGCTTTTGCTAATTCAAATCTAACCGAAAAGTTAGCGCTTTTCACGATTTGTCATAATTTGACATTACTGGCACACTCTTGCGCCAAAGTTACTTTGGTGCATGCTTATTTTCATTAGACAGGTAGTTATCAGAGCTAATCAGTATTTTAAAACAAAATGTAGACTAATCGGAATAGTATAGTTGAACATCTAATATTTAAACACTTATTCCTTAATATCTGTACCCCAGAGCCAGAGTATGTTAAGTCCAAAAACTTAGTTTTTCAGGAGAGCATTTTTATATATTCATTTTAGACTGTGGAGTGTGGGCTTAGCGTAGTTAAAAAATGAGCTGTTTTTGTTATTTTAAAAGATACGTCAAAATGGAAAATATCGAACCATGCGCCGCAAAATTTTAAGTCACTTAACATATTTACCTAAAATTTGGCCAATTTGGACTTAACATAGTCTGGCTCCGAGGTACAGATATTTAAAGGCCAAATGAAATATTAAAAATATAATACAGCTGTAGTTAGCATGATGATAAGAGAGATAGTTGTTTGGAAAAGTACTAGATTCGAAAGGTCCCTACTTTTTTCGCCCATGAGTAATGCAAATCGGTCAAATAATGGAAATAGAAATAGAATTTATTCATCTTTGAGAATTATACACTATACAAAGGTACATAATGTAAAATCCTATCAGACTAGTCAAAAAAGTGTTATGTAAAATACATTAAAAAGCAAAATATATATAATTCATGTTAAGATTAGTTTAAACGTTCAAAAAATCTTCTTTACTATAAAATACATTATTTATAAGAAAATCATTTAGATGTTTTCTTAAATCATTACGACTATTTTGATGATATCCTGTAGTATCTTCTAATATGTTACTGAACTTATTGTAAACACTTAATCCCAATATATTTTGGTGAATGCTGGCTTATTTGTAATCGTGAAAAAGGTTGATGGATGTTAAATTTTAATCTAGTATCATATGAGTGCAGGTCTTTATATTTCTTAAATATATGCTCATTATCTTTTATGTATAAAATTGGTTGAACAATAAAAAGGGAAGGTAGTGTTAAAATTTGCGTTTTCTTGAAAAGTTCTTTATATGATGTTGTTGGTGTCACCTTATACTTGGCTCTCAGAACCTTCTTTTGAGAGCTCTTTCAAAGTATGGTGAAGAACCCCAAAATATTAACCTATATTGTAGAGTTGAATAAACCAAAATAGCATAGTTTTAAAGTATCAAAAGATAGTGTCTCCCTTAAATTTTTGATGATATAACAAGTACTTAATTTTGAAGTTAACATTTTTATATGAGCTTCCCAATTTAATTTGGGATCTAATATTATTCCTAAAAATTTTATGTCATCAACGCTTTGAATAGTTTTTCCGTCAACGTGCAAGTAGGGTTCGTAATCTGGTAATATATTTTTGGGTAGAAAATGCATGAAGTTTGTTTTTGTTACATTTAATGCCAGACCGTTATCTTTACAATACTGGTTAAACTCACGAGATGCCTCGTTGCTACTTTGAGTGACCATTTCAATTTGATCATCTGCCATTACAATATTGGTATCATCAGCATATTGAACTATTTGTTGAGAGCTTAAACAAAAATTACTTATATCCCGAAACAAAGGATTCATTAATCAAATGGGATATGGGTTCAGCAATACAATGAGCAACCGATAACAGAATTTTACCATTTATTTTGTCAATATCTTCAGTGGGTTTAGAAGTAGTTTTTTTGATTGATTTCACTAGGAGTTGTTGGAAAAAGAAAAAACTTTTATGATGTTTATCAATACTCATAGTATAGTTAGGTACAGTATTATTTTTGTTTACATTAATAAAATAGTCATTGATATAATTTACATTTTCTAAGGGTGTTAATTTTTCATCATTTGTAAGTTTAATAGGATTCAATAAGTTATTTTTTATTTTTCCCCTACTCTCGTTTATTATATTCCAGGATTCTTTCATTACGTTATTACTTTTTAAACTACGATCATTATTTTTTCTTCTCAAATATTGTTTTGTTATTTTTTGATACTCTTTTTTTAAATTATTGTAACGTTCTGTATAATATGTAGAATGTATTTCTTTCTTTAACCTGTTCATTTCACATAATAGATTATATAACTCTTTAATATGAGGTGGAAACTGATTTTTTAATTTTTGTGGTTTTATCGCTTTCTTTGTTTTCGTAAATACAATATTGTAGTGGTATAGAAATTATTCATAAAAGATAGAAAATTTATCATTAAAATTAGTAAATGTGTATACTTCACGCCAATTTTCAACTGATAAAATATTTATAAAAGTTATTGCGTTAGGATCACTTAAATCTCGTTTATATCTGTATTTAAATTCGTTATTTGGAAAAGGTCGAAAGGTGTATTACATAACTAGAGATAATATAAGAAAGGAAGTGACAAACTCATCTACAAGTTTGTAAAATTTACTTCTGTCTGTGTCTATTAATTTTCAGACCCTCGTCTTCATACTCTCTCCCCATTCTTCTGTTGCAAATCTAAAAAATTGCTCTTTTACTGAACTAGTTTTTCAATTTTTAAGGAAAACTTGTACAGTTGGTTGAAAGGCAACGTGACATCTTGCAGTAAGCAACTATTTATTTTCGACGAAGCCGATCACATGCCTGATAAAGTTTTGAACTCCATCTTGCCCATGCTCGACTACAGGGAGAAAGTGGACGGGGCCGATTATCGAAACGCAATTTTCATTTTCCTTTCAAACGCTGGAAGCGAACTAATTTTGGAAAAATTGGATCATCTGTATCAGAATAACAAGACGAGGGAAGAAGTGGAAGTAGCTGATTTCGAACGGGAAATTGTTATGGGAATTTTTAATCAAAAAGGTATTTAGATATTCAAGCTTGTAATAAACGTTTAAGAAACTACCACTAACTAAAATACATTTTTAGGTGGTTTTTATCACTCTGATACCATAAGTCATAACTTAATAGATCATTATATCCCATTCCTACCCATGGAACACCAACATATCCTAGAATGTGTTATGGATCAGTTCAAGGAAAGACATGTCGATGAGCCTTCCGAAGAACACATTCTGTGAGTATAATTTAAATGCAACGTTGCCAGTCATACTTTTTTTCCAAATCATTGTATATTTATTTTTCTATTTTAGTGAAGTATTAAATACGATCTCTTGGGGAGAGGCCACTAAATTGAAATATGCGAAAAGTGGATGCAAAACTGTTGGATCGAGAGTGTCATTCATATGTGAAAAATATTATAAAACTGTCTCTGAAACGAAGGAAAAGAGCGACCTATGATCTTCAGACTCACTAGTTTTTTGAGATTGGTTTGATGGTAGATGTATTATATATAGTTTTGTACAGTTGCTTGGAAATATGAAATTCTAAAGTATTTCAAATAACTGTGTTGTTAGTTTTGTTGGAAATAAGTAATTTAAATTAGAAATTTCATTAGATTGAATGTATTTTTGATATATCTCCCTTGAAAGTTTTGAAAATTAACAGAACTGCATATTTATTACATGCAATTTTATTATGAGAAGATATTTTCTATGAAAACTCGAATCATGTTTAAGGTATTGATTTTTAGTCAAATTTTATGTTAATTTAAAGACTGGCTTGTGTGATTTTACAACAATTATATTTGTTATCATTTTGGAATGTTTACAATACGTGTGAAATGTTTATTTATAAAATATTTAACAGATTTGAAGCATATAAGAAGTTTAGATAATGAACCAGACACCTCTTTTTTTAATATTATCAATTTTACTTTCTTCGTCGACTCTACATGTTCGTTTTGTTCAGGATATTTCAACTAATTTATTTTTTGGATGTATATCAACTTTGTTTCTTCCTTTTGAATGCCCATCATATCTAAATTAGGTTTTGGTTTCCAAATGTTAAGTAGGACTGAGCAGTGATGATTGTAATCAAAAACAAATCAGGCCCTTATACATGTGGGGTAATGAGGTTAATTATTAGCTTCTTTAAATATTTAGAAGAATGTAATCTAAAAAATTGATAAAAATTATAAATATGGTGCCCCTCATTTTATTATAATTCAAGTATTTTCTTTACTGTACTCACATCTCCACTATATTTCTCACATCACTCACAACATTTGCTTGTTTTACCCAAATTTCTTTAGCCCACAATAAAATTTGTTTATGATGGATTTGAGCCAGCTCAATTTTAAAAGCATATCATCGACGCCATGTTGGACTTGCTGACAGATTTTAGTTCCTATTAATATAAACGAACGACAAAAACTAGACTAAGTAAGCCCTTATTTATTGCAACTATTCTCAGATTGTGTTTTATGCTAAGCAGACAGAGCTGTTGCATCGGTTGCCACATTACAAAGTATGAGACACCTTCTAAATTGAGTGGGGATGGTTTATGCGAGCTTGTTTTTTTGGGGTGCGAACATGCGCTTAAGAATGAATCGGCTGTAAATCATCTTGGGTTTCAATAATAACTGGCAGTAAGAATGCAAATATACAATTTTCTACTCTTGTCTTATGATTTGGGTCGACTTTTTTGTATTTGATCACGTCATTAAGTAGGAACTTTTTTCAAAAATAATTTATTTTTTAGAAAAATGTTAATGTTTATATTACATATTTTTATTTTTTACACTTAAAACTATTGTATACACTTTTAAATGATGCATAGAAATAAAATTGTTTTCTTCTAAGTCTTCTTTCTTTAACATAACAGATCCACTGATGAAGTGATGAACGTCCTCATTACATGTTATATGTAATAATATGGTGTTGCATAAGCATAACCTAAAAATGAGAAAAAATATGTTTTTATGTTGGTTATATCATAAATTGATGAGACACTTTACAGTTCGTAATTTTTTATCCGGCAGTTATGTTATTAAATTATAAAAAGTTCGTCAACTTAAGCCACTAAATATGTACACCAAGTTAGCTTAGGAAACAAGTTCGCTAATGTATTTAGCAAATTTCATAAAAATAAAACATCAATAATTATTTCATATTATAGTTATTATATAGTCTACATAATGTAACAGAAAATATTTTAAACGCCAGAAATGCTCGAAAGAACCCCTTTTCTAGAAAGAGAAAATTGTTAAAATTTCAACTATAATAAAATTTTATTGAGATATTCCACCATAGCAGTGAGTTTTTCAGATGTTTACTGCATTGTTGTCCCTTACCCTACTTGTCTCTGCTGCTTCAGCTGAGAGATCATTTTCAAATCTAGTAAGGGATTTCTCATATCAAAAAAATGGCGCTTTTAGACGGAACTTTTCTCGGGCGCCAGATTATTTAATGTGGTTTACTCCACAACTTTCGATACAGCGTCAAAGCGCTTAGGAGGCCCCATATGAAGATACTGGATATTCCAGGAATCAAAATGATTGTGACTTAGATTTAAAAAGGTAAAAATAACAGGCTTAAGTTATTATTACAGTGCGTATTTTCTTGGTTCTGCAATGGACTAAAATCGGGTTTTTATGCATATAAATGCTAGAAGAAAAAAATTAGTTTTTGAATGTTTTAATATTTTTTGAAAGATAAACATAGTATTATGTTATACAACCCAACAAACATTTTGTGTAGGGAATAAAACGCTCAATAACTGTTCCCCTTCAATTGTAATGATGGCCATTTAACTTTTATAATTAAAAGGCCGGCATATATAGGTCACTACGGCCGACAGTCGGGCCAAAGTCACTTGGCCATCAAATCCAGTTAATAGGCCTCCATTTTTCCTTTTATGTCTAGAGATAAATATATTGGCAATTAATAACCCATTGATGAGAAGTTAACGGGAAATTGTAGACCTTTTATTATATTAATACTGACTTCTAAATAAAGACCATGTGCCGGTCAAATGACCAGACAAGAGATTCGGTACTCGGTAGTGCCTCTTTGACCAGTAGTACCTTTTGAACTATAAATAGAAGGCATTCCCAATCTAGAATGTAGACATTTTATTTAATATCAGCTATATAACATAATAATAGAGAAAAAATTTATTCTACAAACAGTATATTCATAAAATATTCTAAATTTTTAATATCAATATGAAAAAGTAAGAAATTACAATGAATACTGAATAGTGAATATCTGTAATCTAAGACGCCATAGTACAGGTACACTCATTGATTATTTAGCAAGCGATCATCGGTGTCTTCATCTATGGACGCGGGTCGGAACCCTTCTGGACTGTTGGGGTTGGGTCTGCGGCAGTTAAAAGCTTTTTGACTTTTACCGTTCTTTTATCCAATACAGTTACTTACCCTTCATAAGGCCATCATTAACCAACATAATGCTGTGCCACTATCGAAAGGCCAAAAGTAGGCTCTTATCCTTTAATCGTCGCATTAATTTTTCCTTAAATAACGGCAAGAGACCAGCAATATCCCGGCAATTCATTGTTTGTTGGAAGGTATTTTCAACACGAAAGTATACCTTACAAGTTGAATAGGAACTTTTGCACATAACAGATTGACACCTCTGTCAGCCAGCATCGATACGACTTCGACTTCTGCTCGCCCCACTAAATATATAGGGTGGAGACCTTAACTGGAATAAATTCGCTAGCGTGAAGGTGAATAATCTTTCTAAAATTTCCCGAGATACGCAACGTTTTAATATATTTACCTACATTTTGCAAGCAATAGCCCTTCGGAGGTAGCTGAAACCCTGTGCCTTCATTGCAAAGCTGATGGAACGAGGAATCCAGCGTACTTATCAAATTTTAGTTTCTAGTGCGTTTGGGGGTTGCATAAAATCAAAACGTATTTTAAAAGTTTATTTTATTTTCAATGTAACAAGTGCTCAAAATGTGTACCATTAACTTGTTGGCAGCATCCCAGTCGGTGGTATGTTTCGTCTCTTACCTTACGCAACATTTTCGGTGATATTTTATTGATTTCCTCTCTTATCATTTCCTGTAGATCTGCTATTTTGTTGGGTTTTTGAATGTAGACTTACTTTTGAGATGTCCCCATAAAAAAATCCAGCGGTGTTAGGTCTGGAGACCTTGCTGGCCACTCAATAGTACCACGTCTTCGAATCCACCTACCGGGAAAAATTATGTCCAGATATTAACGAACAATAGCAGCGTAGTGTGGCGGGGCCCCATCTTGCTGAAACCATAGCCTATCACCGGTCAAGTTGGGGTTTAAGGAATTTGGAAATAAATGACATATAACGGTCATTAATTCATGCTGGAGAAAATGCAAGTATCTTGCTCCATTAATAGTGTCATCAAAGAAAAATGGTCCTACAATTCTATCGCGTATTATTCCGGCCCAAACAATAGTTTTCTGTGGGCGCCGAGTATGAATTTCCCTCATCCAATGGGGGTTCTTTGCAGCTCAATAACGACAGTTTTGGCGATATACGTGCCCATTTAATGTAAAAGTAGCCTCGTCAGAGAAAAGTATCCAGTCTAAAGATAAATGGCTTTGATCAATACGAGTCGTCAACAAATCGCAAAATTCCAGTCGTCGATCTGGATCATCTTCTAGTAGCTCTTGGACAGCATGCACTTTATATGGGCGTTTTTTCTCATATTTTAGTATTTTTATAACCGTTTTGTGATTAAGATTACTATCACGGGCCAGTTGACGGGCTGGAGTGACCGGATTTTCTTCTAGAGCAAGCAACAAATTCAACTTCGTGTCGTCATCGACAACAGCTTGCCTCTTTCTCGGTACTATTCTGACATGACCCATTCCTCGTTATTGTGCCTCTATTTTACTAATAGTACCTTGATTTATTGATAGCAAGTCAGGATGTTACTCTCGAAACAGCTGAACAACTTCGCTTTGAGTTCGCATCCTATCACCATATCCAATCATCATCAAAATTTCGATCTTTACCGTTTCAGTTAAATAATTAGGCATTTTCACCAATTTGCAACAACACTTCGTATCGAACGCTGAATACTGCAACTACAAACTAAATTCCTCTTTGCGAATGTGGATAAACAAACATAAGCAAAAAATAGCAAATTCCAGTTGTGGCAAAAAATGGTTTGGAATTTTTTGTGATGACATCTAAAAAGTAAGGTTTACATTCCAAAACTAAACAACAAACATTTTCAGCAATTGTTATTTTGAATATAAATTAAACTTTTAAATTACGTTTTGATTTTATGCAACCCCAACAAGCACTAAAAACTAAAATTTGATAAGTACGCTGGATTCCTCGTTCCATCAGCTTTGCCACAGGGTTTCATTTGAAAAAAACATGTTGAGGGTGGTTTCAGCTACCCCCGAAGGGCTATATTTTTCAAATTGCTTGCAA